AAATTGATTCAACTTCAACAATTTATTTAACAAATTCTTCACTATGACCATAAAGGATATTAGTTTACATAGAATTAATAGATTGGTTCTAAAATCATTAAGTGAAATCATGTGTGTTATTGTAAGTTAATATCTTGAAACTATGATGTTTTCTTTAATATTTTGCTTTACGTTTCATTTCCATCCAAACCAATAAATAACTTGGAAATATTTCTTAGGTTATGAGTTCGTACAAATTTTCTGTACTAAGTTATATTTTTTATGATGATTCATAAAATGTTTTACAGTCCATTACAATAATTTTAATCACCTACTTTATTCAACTAAAAATTACCTGATTTATTTTCATGATTAGTTTTCAAAGTGAATGTAATTTTCTTATATTCAAGGTGACAGCAATTATCCAATGATTGTTTTAATTATATCAATACGTTTTTTATAATAAAGTTGTTAACTAATGTTGTTCTTATCTTTGAATGGTATCCTCAGTAAAAGTAGTTAACTAGAGGTGGAGAGATATCAAATTCATATTCTAATAAGTAAGTATAGTCAGTAGTTAAAATAATTTCACTGCTCATAAGGAACAACAAAAAATTAACTATTTCATACTAATCATAATAATGGTAACAAAGCCATGGTAGTGTATATATATATATATAGTTTGTTTGGGATTTTGTTTACGTATTTAGTAGAGGAATAACAAAACATAAATCGATAAAGAACAAAACAGCATTTATAAAACCGTATATAATAACCGTTATAGGCAAAAATATTTGAAAATAATGACAAGGAATGTGGTATTAAAAGTTGATCTGACATAAATAAATATGAAAAGACTATTTTGTCATTACCTTCAAATAAAACACGACTCCCGAATCATTATAACTAAACTGAGAGAGGATACAAAGAAACCATTTCTACCACATAGGCATATATATATATATATATATATATATATATATATATATATATGTCATTTATTATATTATTGCTCGTGCCAATGAATCCATAGAACGTTCTATCAAACTGTATGTTATAAGTGTTACTTCTTGAACTAATAGTCTTTTATAAAAAGTTCGAAGGTTTAGTCAGAAACGTTTAATCTAAGGGATTTGATATATCTACACAGTACTTTTCCAAAGAGTTATCCTTACAAGGCAATTTTATAAGAAGAATAAGTAAATTAAATTAAGGATCAAATAAACGAATAATATGTGAAAGATGATATAATATAGGGATAAAAAGCTGTCCTCCCACCCCTGAGACTAAGATGGATTACAAATTACCAGACCAGAATCAGAGAGGTAAAAAGTTGTTTTTGTCCATACTGCACAGAGTTAACTTTAAAGAGAGAATTCTGGTAAGATCGAGTGACCGAAATAGTCAAGACACTCAATAAAGAGTCTAATATTCCGTACACATTTATTATTAGGTAACCATGAAGGTAATCCTCGGAGATGAAATAAGAAAGAGTAGACTTTTTCAAGTCAGTATATACTGCAGGTTCTAGAAACGTAACTGCCTAAACCTCAAACGATTTTTTGCAACCAACAGCTTGTTCGAGTAGTGTCATATGAAAACTACAATGTACAGCCAAATTAATATATATCAACTAGTTAGCTTATTCATATGCAACGGGTTATAATGGCAACCAAATTACGCTCTTTCCAACTCTACAAAACCTTAAATAAAGTGTTTCGTCTCATCCGTCACCTTATCATGTAGCCGTTAGATAACATCAGTTAATGAATAAATACTGTCTTTCATCTAACAGTATGATGATTTTTACATAAAATAAGGCTGGATTTTCAGTTTTTACATTTTATATTTATTTGTATAAGTATCTGGTTTATAATGATTCTCATTTAGAACCCTCGAATTGTCTATTCTGCCTGACCTAGTCTTCAATCATATGTATATATACATTAGCCAAAAATGTAATTATGTCAAAAATTCCTTCAATTCGAAACTTTTCTTTCAAATTATTAAAATTAATCAACTAAACTGTTAATGATTCGATGAAAGAAATCGCTATTACTTACTGTGTAATAATATCACTATTATAAACGATTAGTTAAAATTATCAATCTTGACAGAAAAAATGTTTGCAAATGTATTACTTTTAATAAAAATAAAAGTATTTCTGTTGTTTAGATAAAACATTAATTCACTATTCAGTTCCTTTCATTATATTAGACATAATATGTCATCATTCATTTTTCTATTAGTTGTTTGAATCCTCCCATTGAAGATTAGGACTTAAATCGATTTTTTTATTAATTGAAATGTGTGCATCATATGTCAATTGCCTCAATATTATCTTCAGTCACAAGCATTATAAGTAGAGATGGATGAAGGCTAGCAATGGAATCTAGGATGCGTGTTTCATCCTATTTGGATCTCATTAGATGGATGTACCTGAATCCCAGATGTGATGTTCATTTCGTGACTTGAACCCATTACCATTCGCATTGATATTTAGGAATTGAAAATTCACCCCATTGCACAAGCTAATGACTATCAGGACTCAGTAGCTAAGTAAATAATGCGATGACGTTTGCGGTACTGGCCTCGAATCTCGGAGTGTAAATGAACTCTAGGACAGCAGATTCATCCATCTGACGAAACGCGCGTCCTGGATTCCACTGCTAGCCACTATCCATCTCTGCTTAAAATACATCATCAGTTGTAGAGACTTTTATGTTTATAAGAATGTTGAATACTTATTAGTAATATATATATATATATATATATATATATATATATATATATATATATATATATATATATCAGATTGGGCGACAACAAACATATTCTCTTAACAAATCTTAAGGTATTACTAGACTTGTGTTTCTAAATCATTTATTTTAGCAATCAGTTTGAAATAAAGATGATTTGGTTAACTAAAAAAATTCTATATTAATTGTTATTGATACTAACCAGAAAATATATAATTAGTCTCAATCTCATCAGATTTATGATTACATTTTATTTGTAAACTGATGTCCTGTTTTAAAATACTAACAGAAAGCCATAAATATTTTGTGGCATCACAACACTTATTCGTTTTCAAAAGCTGATCTTTTTTTGAAACATTGACCTATTTACCAAAAAAACTAGCCATTTATTTGTTATTGAAGATGTTTCCTCACGGTAAATACTTTCACTTAATTAATGAATTACTCTTCTATAATAGATTTAAGTAACCAAACCAAATACGATAAACCTCTGAAAGTTACAACGTGTTCATTCTTGTCTGTGCGTATTTTCTTTTTCATAGCACATTATCGAGTAAATTTCATTAGTTTTAAATGCTAACGTACTTAAATACAATGAAATTAATTAATCAACAGGGAACAATAAATTATTTGACTAATAAAATTCTGAAGAAATTTAAAGCAACAACGTATTTTTTATATGACAAATGTAGCCGAATGTTGAAAGACAAGAAACGTTAATTACATTATTATAAACAATCTTTATTAAAAATATATGATAAATTGAGATTAAAAACATATTAAGTTAAATTCAAGTCTGACCATCATTAAACACTAATAGAAAAATTATCAAGTCTTAATTACTTATCTAAACTCCGCCTGGAGCCCCTCTGGGGCTACTGCCGGTTCCAAGCCCGGATAAATGGAAAGGGTTGGGCATAGGGTTAACGACCCCATCCCGTAGAAAACTAATTCGCTAAAAAACGCTAGAATGAAAAAATTTATTGAAACTATTTGAACTCCTCCCTGGGAGTTAGAAGGTCTTCATTTAGAAGAGTCATGACGTCTCATGGTGAAAGCCGAGTTCCTTTGGAAGTCATGAGACTGATACCTCTTCTGACAAGCAGAGCAACTACTAATTTAAGTACATGGGATGCTCGTGTAATGTGGGAGACCGGGAGAGTCATAAAAATTGCTGCAGAAATAATAAGATGCAACCTGGAGGTGCTGAGAATCAGTGAAGCACATAAGGCGCAGGTTGGGCAACAGGAACTATCTTCAGGAGAGCTGCTGTTATACTCCGGCCATGACGAGGAAATTGCGCCACATACACAGGGAGCTGCACTGATGCTATCCAAACAAACACAAATAACAAAAAAATTATTTATCTAACTTCTCAGAACCTTAATATGACATAAATAAATTATTTCTTAATTATTATTATTATGGCGTAATTATGTCTTTGTCCAATCATCCCGTTATATGTTCATAGATGACTGTCAATTTAATGTGTGTATTCCAATTATGTTAATATTTCAAGCTATATAAACTCATTGGTTTGTACGTATATTTGAAGAGAGCAATCAAATAAAATGAATTTAATGTTAGGAAACATTATTCATTTTAATTGATTTATATTACTGACGAGAAACAATTGTATAAAGTTTGGATCAAATAATCAGTTAAATGATATATATATATATATATATATATATATATATATATATATATATATATCACTGTCTACCCAAGGCTCAATTTATTTGAAATTATTAAGTGCAACCTTACCACTGATACCTAGAAAATCAGCTAAGCATTTGCCCCCTGAATACATTTTTAATTGTAAAGCAATAAACGAATTTTAAACGTTTTAACTTGAAAACGTGTTAAAAATATTTTCTTTTACTATTACTGAAATACAAACCTCTGACGCGTAATTATGAAGGAAACTTTTTGGCTGATATTCTCATTAAATTAATGTATGGAATAGAAAACAAACAAAAACGTTTTTATACTATGGAGGTAATTCTACTTTAGTTTATTAAAGAAATAAGTTGTTATTTACTGATTAGAGATAATTTTATAGTTGTTAAATGCTAAATACATTTCAAAGTTTCTTCTGATGTATAGTTTCCGGTATTGTACAAGGTAGTAACCTTGAGATTGATAGTCGTAAAATTAAATAATGAATAAGCATTTTGTGATTTAAATTTTGAATATGGCACAATTATTTTGTATGCATGTATGTATGTTTGCAATTATACACATTTAATGTTTACACAGGTGACACAACTACTTGGTGATTCCAATGAAGCAAAACTAAATATTCAAATATTCCATGCATACACTGTTGGAATTATCTAATGGCTTTATTGATATTATTCTTTGGATTGCTGGTAAGTCATTGTATGCATATAATTATAGCCGTTTCGTTGGTAGTTTATGATTACATATTAAAACTAGTAAATTCAATAATTTACACATTTAGTTGTATCACTAATTTAAGATGAAAAATATTGATAACATTATTATAAATATTACAAGGATGAGAAAGAAGTGTTTCTTTTACATTTGTGGTATACAAAGAAATTCGAACGAACTAATAATTAGATGATTAATACAATTAGTAAGAAATACATATATCTTTGTTAACAGTATTAAGATTAATTGCAAACTTCATAAAGAAAATATTTCTTCAATACAGACTATTTGTGGTTCAATGAAGTTGTTATTAATCTAATTTTTTTCTTTTCAAAATAAGTTTTGAATAATTTAATCATTACAAATTAAGAAATAAATTTTTTTAAGTTAAAAGGAATTGATAGTTTCAAATGTTTACTAGAATTCATCGAAAGATTTATTGTAATTCGAAATGACCTGTGGTAGATAATTTTTCAATTGAATAGGCATTGAATATCACTTTTGATTTTTCATTTGTAATTTATGAAATTTAATATGTTTTGTTACATGAATGACATTTATGTATATTGAAATAATGTAGCATTCCATGGTAGGTCATGTTTAACGTCATATATATAAGTATATAATATACTTTGAAAAACGTTTTTTGAAAGGTATGAAAATCTATATAAACAATATTATTGAGAATCATATATATATATATATATATATATATATATATATATATATAGAGAGAGAGAGAGAGAGAGAGAGAGAGAGAGATTATGGTGGATAATAACCGACTATGGAATGTTAAATTAAATCTACATGCATATATGTTAATTTTGTTCAATAACGGAAAATGTCAAATCTAGCAAATCAGAGATCTGAAGTATGGGATTAAATGAACACTGCATATATATATATATATATATATATATATATATATATATATATATATATTGGCCCGGGATCTGTCTCGTATGAATGATTGCTGTCGAAATATATATATTGTCAATCGTCGTATAGTATTATCGACTTAAATCGCGTTAGTGAATAACGGAATTAAATAGGCTGATTACGAGAATGAAGTTTAGAATACATATATATTGTACAATCATTGATCTGGACAGACAATCTGTGAATCGCAGCGAATGAAGCGAAGAAGGAAGAGCTAAGCGAAACAAAAGAACGCGCAGTTTAGGAGGCATGTGAGTCAACTCTGTTTAATCAAGCGTTAATCAATATTTAGAGTCACACAAAAATAAGCTACAGACATGTGATAAGTAGGATAAGAAATGTACACACTTATGCTCATATAAGAATAGTCAAGGTTGATAAGTGAATAATTAAGAAGGTCGAAACGTGACTCAAGAAGAATGGGTAAACTGCCCTGTCCAGAAGCTCGAATATGGTATATGGGCTTAACATAGTAACCAACACTGCATATATATATGTATATAAAGATCTATCTGTATGCCTGGATTCTGTACATTTCAAACACAAGAAAGGTGTTATCTTGATGTCTAGTCATTTTGTCGCCAATAAATGAATTTCGAAAATTCAATTAAACGGTATAATTTATATTTCGACCACATGGTTTTATGGATTACATCATGTACACAAATTAGTGTTTCCATGCCTTACAATTTACAAACGTAGTGTAAATTAGTCATATATTATATAATAAAATGTAGTAAAGAAAGAATTTAAGTGTCAATATTTTAAGATGAATATTAAATCTTCACTGGTGCATTTTAGTCCTTGGTAACTTATACTGAAGTTGCCTAAAACTGCTTTTTGAATGCTAGTAAAATTTACCTATTCATGGAATAAGATGTGACACTGAACATAATATTAAAACCTACAAATGGTTGTTAGACCATATTTCTATGAAGCGTTGTACGCCGCAAAATACTTTAAAGAATTGTTGAAAAGTATTAAACATTCAATAGTGTAGTTGATATTTGAAATTTAAATGGGTGATTTCGATAAGGACATGTTTATCAGAGGTTACATGAAATCATGTACTGCGAAAAATGTAGTGGACAACCATAAACCTACAAAACGTTCAAACCTTTGTTAATTTGAGATTGGTAAAATATCATCTGGGTACGTAGCTAAAAATGTAATCCTTATTTGGCAGCTTTATTCAATACTCTACACCGCGAAACTCTTATTCAAACTCTAGTAAATGAATTAACTCATTTGAAGACAGGCCTTAAAATGTATGTTTAGCCATTACTTGTTATTTTTAAACATGTATAACGTAAAACATTTTCACACACCAAATGAGTTTCTATGAGAAAAATATTGTTTATGACCATAAATGTCACCACGAATGATGTCGGCAAAATACTTACGAATCACTAGGGCAATCACTTTATGAAATGTTTCATGTAATAAAAAATTTACCATATTTCCCATTGATAACTATTTGATGATAGATAGATCACCATATGCTCCTATGAAGCTAAGGATATTATCATTCATCAAGACCTATCATTTGTCACATTTGAAAATATCTACCATCTTGATTCAGCAACGGATAAGTTAAATTTTTTACGTTCTCTATTCTAAGGTCTCGTTCATTATTATCTATAAAATCTAAGAAGACATTTCTAAAGGATTATGTCTAGTTCACTCTAACTTTCAGTATCGAAGTCATTTAAAATTGTGCACAAAGAAGCTATTTATAAGATGCTTATTGTTTCCATAGACTTTATTTTATAATACTTTATTTTTTCGTAAGAACTACACAAGTATTTGTCACTAGTAGGTATTATTATCAATGTTTGACATGATAATTTCGAATAAATTGATCACTGGATATATTAAGACACGAAATAATCATATTTATTTTAAAATTTGAGCGTTTTTAAAAAAATATTAATTCTATTATTTTATTAGGAATCGCTTCAATCTCACAATTACTGACCACCATACACATTATATACATCTTATCGTAAACTTTTGACTAACTATACTCTTAATCCTTTAGTTTACCCTAGTGATTAAGTGTTTTTAACTATTTACAAATTTTATAAACATAGTTCCCTTTATCATTTTGAAAAGAGCAAGAACAAACATTCTAGTAGAATAGCATGAATTCATTTTATTTCGTTGGTTCTCGTCAGCTGCTTACAACCTCATAATTACATAATGTGTTTAAATTACTTACTTGAGAGGGTTTAGTTGGAAGTTATATTGAAGACATATTAAAATAGTATAGCGAGGGTGTAAATAAATTTAATAGACTGAATATTGTAAATATATACCTTATGTAAAAGAACATTCTACAACACCGTGACAACAGTTCAAACGGTCAAAAACAAGTGATTTTATAATGAGTAAACATTGATAGGAATAAAATGAGTAGAGTTCAGTTGATAAAATAAGATTATTAATTTTGAAGACATGCAAAATAAAAACACAATGATGTAATGAATGTAAGAAAGAGTTTAAAGAAAAAGGAAAAAGATATTAAGATACAGTGAAGGAATATTAGTCACCAAGGCAAGGAAAGATTAAAAGTCATCTCCTTTTGAACACATAAATCAGGTTTTTGGCGTCTGATAGCAACGGCTTCAGCAAATTTCAGAAGACTGATGTTTGGCTCCTTACTAATTGGTTCATAACTATTTATTTAACTAACATAATGAGTTCATTTATTTCCTAGTCATAATTGACTGTCATTCTGAAAAATGTATGATTTGTTTATGTATTAAGCATGCGAAATCTATATAGGCCTACTCGACTTGACAATAAACTCAGTTTAAAAAGTTACATGGTTGGACTGAATGCTATCTCGGTCTAACCTAAAATAAAAAAGGAAGAGATGAGTCGTGTTTTACTCTTAAAATCATATCTCAGTCAGTAAGCTATCTAGCTCATAATATGCCAAACTAATGTTACATTTCATCTTTTAAAATTATTAATACTATGATAAAATATTTACTTGAGAAATATGACAGGAATTGGATTTGATGAATCGACTTTGGCTAGACAACCATTAAAAACACAGAAATCAATGAACAGATATTTCACTCTAGCTTGTGACTATAGATGAGATAGAATCAAGGACTCTTACGCCTCATAGTTTCCTGGTTTTTGAGGGTTGCTTAATTAGAATCTGTTTGTATTTAGTATAAACTACATAAATCTTCTCAGTAAACATTATGAGTCAATAATTGAAAAGTAATTTTAGTCAGTCTATTTCGTAATCTCTAATAAAACCATTATTTTAACTTTTAAAATACTTAAATAGGTAAATTCATTTGTTTGTAAATAAAACGAGAATGTCTCATGTAAACAGCTTTAATCTACTAATAAATCGATCTCCATGCTAAACGTATTTATCGAAGTCCAAAATTAAAAGTGATCATTTATATAAGTATGCATATAATGTATTATACATATGTAGAAACTATACAGGAAATAGGAAAAAGCATTTCAGTACGTATTACCGACACTTCATATATATCTATGGAATTTAAATATTTTCCCTACACACTTCATAGACAAAAAAAATAAAATAAACGTCATGTGAATTGAGTCGCCTGTCAGAAATATCCCTAGAAATTCAGCACTAAGTATAGTTCGAAGAATCACTGTATAAGTTAAAGGTAACTATGAAACAAATGAGAATATGATAAACGAACAGTTTCAATGTTATTTCTTTTAAAAGACAAATGAAGATAACTAATTGGGAGACAGGTGATACAAAACAAAGTTGTTTCATATGCAAAAATTATGAATTAAATTGAATGCGAGCCACTGTCACAGAAGGATTGATGCATTGATCTTTCAGTTACTAATCAGTACAATACACTAAGTAAACAACAGGGCTTTGAGTGTAATATAAATTTTTTATTTAAACAACGAATACGAAGTTGCAACCAATTTATTGCAAAGGATATCCCATAGAGTTTTATCGGATAAAAGTTTGGCTATTTTTAAAATTTTTAATAACCTTGTTTAGACAACAGTTCAACAAAATACTAGATGAAATATTTGATTATAAAAAGCAAGTAACAACAACAGATCCAATCTAAAAATTAGTTATTCAAATATATAAATAACTCTTGAAACGGGAACACTTTTTCTGAATTCAACCTATGCACTTATAAGTGCATCTGGTATAATGAAGTTACTTTTTTAACAACTTATGGTAGAGAACAATGAATTCATGAACATGACTTCACACTTACATATTGGATTAGTGCACATAAACGTACAATCCTGTTTTCCATTAGAATTACATCAAACTTTAATAAACAAAATAATTTTTATAAGTAAATGGAAAATATTAGACTAATCAAGATAATTTATGAGTAAATCATAATAATAAAATAGATCGCGTAAGTACTCATAATACATAAACGTACCGTTCGATAGTATCATGATAGGTAAATTCGTAGTGATAAGAATAATAACAGTATAAAAATCTTTATATAAATTTCCTTACAAAGACTAACAGCTGAAGCCTTATATATATGGGCGAATCAAAGCAGTATTAATAGGAGAAGTGGGATAAAACTAGCTGTCCTGTGTCAGCTAATGATTAATAAGTAGACCTGAAAACCTTATCACATTTTGCTCCACTTGATTTATCATTTATCATCTGAACGACAACGATTAATGAGTTGGTTAATCTGAATATATAATAAACAGTTAACTTGATCAACACATTAACACAAACACTATTTTAAGTGAATCACACAATGGCGTTTGAAGTGAACGGTACTGGGTTTAAGTCTCAGAATGGACGTCATATCTGGGGTGCAGGTACATCCGTCTAACGAGTTTCAAATAATACGAAACGCGCGTTCTGGATTCCATTGTTAGCCTTCATCCATCTTTACTTATAATGCTTGTGACATAAGGTAATATTGAGGCAATCATATATGTATAAAGCACATATGTCAATTAAGAGACTGATCGATTTCAGCCCTAAACTTCAATGGGAGGATTCAAACCACCAGTACTAAAATGAATTAACTTTTGTGTTTATTTATTTTCATTTTATGCGCGATTGATATACTTAACTCATATCACCTATAAAATCATCTGCTTTCATCGAAAAATCCACCGATCACAAGCGTAATAGTTAATGAAGTTTTTTCTCTCACCTTAGATTCATTTACACATACATACAACTGTTATTTTAACATATTTCTTTATATCAAATGTCTCATACTCACTATAGCCAATTCTTACTATCAACATTGTTAATATGATTGGATGATAAGTTTGGTGTACAGTTACTCGGAGAATGATCTACTTATTTATGTTCGATAATTCTGATAGTTGATTATATTTCCTTGTAAAAGCTTTGACTAGATTGCTAAGTGAAACGTGGGATTTACTTAAAATTTTAATCAATCTTTAACATTGGAAGCAGGCCAACAGTTGGAGAAAAAATCGACATTAAAATAACAATTATTAAACATTATCAAAATTACGTAACAAAAATTGTTAGTTCTGTAGTAAAGAATATATGCGAAAAGATAGTAAAGAAAAATAAACGAACAATTATGTGGAAAATAATTATCATAATAACAATAGTAGATAAAAAATCGTTTGTTAAACTTTATCTTCTAGGGTCTGGTACTGTATGAAACCCACATAGTTTATTCTAGCCTCTGGACAGACCAATCTATTCATTCTTCTCAAACCACATTTTCACCCTGTCACTTATTCGCTTATTAATCCTGTTTTTTTATATGATCATATGTGTTCTAATTACTTATCCTACACATTATGTGTCTGTTACTTATTTTTGTTTGATTATAAATATCAATTCACGCTTGACTAAATGGAGTTGGCTCACTCGCCCTCTCCACCGTGCGTTATTTTGTTATGCTTCGCTTCACGATCGACGATCGTACGTATCAAAAAGTCTATTCTTGTATTTGACTTAGTTAATTCCTCCATTTACTAACATGACTTAAGTCGATGATTATATACGAGTTTAGCCCGAGTGTATATTTCGACAGCAATCATTCGATAACGATCATTGATCCAATCTAACTCTGGTTAGCTATAAGGCCACTAAGATTTGGTTAACGATAAATCACAACCTGATCTAATGGATTTAGCTTAGTCTACTTATATTAATGATAAGGGAAACCCACAAACTGTAAAATCAACCAAGTAATAAGTAAAGTAGTAATTCATTTACTGTATGACACGAAAAATTCACCATATGAGAAATCAACTGAATTTGTATCTGTTAACAACTGTACAAGTCAGTCAATAATTGATATCGTACCATTTTCAGGACGTAAAGTTTTCTTTAGAAAACATGATTTGACTATTTCAGATACTACCGAACTAGTATGAAATAATCTTCTAGCTCTCTTTGGTTTCACATAGTTTTCCAGTGAATGAAAGCTAATGAAAAATTACATTCAACATTTTATTATTTATGTTATGAACATGACATAGAATTCTCATCTATTGAAATATGATGTTAAATAATTGTACACTAAATTTTAATAACCCAATTCATCATTTTATAAAACTTTTCTCAAATTTCTCAGCTAATAGGATTTCCGACACCACATGGTAACTGGTTTCTTCAAAGATTATTTCCGATGCCAGATAACTATGATAATACAATATCAACTGAATCTTGCAGTATTCCGAGAGAATTTAATATTCAATTCATTTACAAGCATCTTGGATGTTTACATTTAGGTAAGTTATATTACAACCAGCTGATTTTCTCTTATTATTGTAGTATGGCAATTAGTGTTGCTTATTAAACATTAACTGATGACTTATTTTAATCATGACTACATTGAAAATTCTCTGTACAAATTAGTCAAAAGAATGTTTGAATGTTTGGAAAATTTAGTTATAATCATAGTACAAGTACTTTTTGACTATGCCCTTCTTAATGGCATTAGTACACCTTATTACTCAACAGTCATTTTGTCTTTGGTTGCCTATTTTAACCTCTTTTATCTTTCGTGATTACTTTTTATATCCGACTTTTTGAACAACTTACTAATTTTAGTATTTTGTTGGGATGGTGGAGAAGATTTATAGCTCAGGTCCATCCATGGACCAAACCATCCAGCTTAGAGAACAAAACTCCATCAAAATTAGTATTTTTGGGACAGTGTCTAATAGTGAACTCCAGGACGCAAGTCTCATTTAACTTAGGACATATTAGATAGAATCAAATGGATCTCACTCTTGATTTTCATTACTTACTTACTTACTTACGCCTGTTACCCCCAATGGAGCATAGGCCGCCGACCAGCATTCTCCAACCCACTCTATCCTGAACCTTCTTTTCTAGTTCCATCCAATTCTTGTTCATTTTTCTCATATCTATCCCTATTTCCGGCGTAATGTGTTCTTTGGTCTTCCTCTCCTCCTTCGACCTTGAGGATTCCATATGAGGGCTTGTCTTGTGACGCAGTTCGGTGCTTTCCTCAATGTGTGTCCTATCCACTTCCAGCGCTTCTTCCTGATTTCTTCCTCCACTGGGATCTGATTTGTTCTCTCCCACAGTAGGTTGTTGCTATAGTGTCCGGCCAGCGGATCTGAAGTATTTTGCGTAGACAACTGTTAATAAACACCTGTATCTTTTGGACGATGGATTTCGTAGTTTTCCAGGTTTCCGCCCATACAGTAGAACTGTCTTGACATTTGTGTTGAAAATTCTGACTTTGGTGTTGGTTGACAATTGTTTTGAGTTCCAGATATTCTTCAGTTGTAAATATGCTGCTCTTGCTTTGCCAAACCGTGCATTCACATCTGCATCAGACCCACCGTGTTCATCGATGATACTGCCCAAATATGTAAAGGTTTTTACATCTTCCAAAGCTTCTCCGTCAATTGTGATTGGATTGGTACATGCTGTGTTGTATCGAAGAATGTTGCTTTTCCCTTTGTGTATATCGATACTTACTGATGCTGAGGGTGGTGCTACAGTGGTTGTCTTCTCCTGCATTTGTTGTTGCGTATGCGATAGAAGAGCCAGATCATCTGCGAAGTCTAGATCATCCAATTGCATCCTAGCTATCCACTGTATCCCGTGCTTCCCTTCAGATGTTGATGTCTTCATGATCCAGTCGATCACCAGGAGAAAGAGAAAGGGTGAGAGTAAGCAACCTTGCCTGACACCGGTCTTTACTTCGAACGACTTTGTCAACTGTCCTCCATGAACGATTTTGCAGTTTAATCCATCATAGGAATTCTGTATGATATTGACTATCTTCTGAGGCACGCCGTAGTGTCGAAGAAGCTTCCATAGGGTTGTTCTGTCCACGCTATCAAATGCTTTTTCGTAGTCGATGAAGTTGATATAGAGTGATGAATTCCATTCAATTGATTGTTCCACAATGATCCGTAGAGTTGCGATTTGGTCTGTGCACGATCTATCCTTACGGAATCCTGCCTGTTGGTCTCGAAGTTGGGCGTCTACGGAGTCCTTCATCCTGTTTAACAATACCCTGTTGAAGACTTTTCCTGGTATTGAAAGAAGAGTGATTCCCCTGTAGTTGTCACAGTTGCTGAGATCGCCTTTCTTTGGTATTTTGACTAGAAGTCCTTCTTTCCAGTCTTTTGGTACCTGTTCCTCATCCCAGATCTTTCTGAAGAGAGTTTGGAGTATCCTTGCAGTTGCCGCTACGTCTGCTTTCAGTGCCTCTGCTGGAATGCTGTCTAGTCCTGCTGCTTTGCCACTCTTGATTTGTCTGATAGCCATGCTGATTTCTTCAATTGTCGGTGCGCCAACATCAATTGGGAGGTCCGTGAGTGCTGCTTCGATGTTGGGTGGGTTCAGTGGGGCTGGTCGATTCAAGAGTTCTTTGAAGTGTTCTACCCACCTGTTTCGTTGTTCTTCAATGTTGGTGATTATCTTGTCTTCCTTGTTTTTCACTGGTCGTTCTGGTTTACGGTGATTTCCGGAGAGTTTCTTTGTTGTTTCATACAGTTGTCTCATGTTTCCTTCTCTGGCAGCCTTTTCCGCCGTCAATGCCAAATCTTCCACATATTTACGTTTGTCAGTTCTGATGCTCCTTTTCACTTGCTTGTTTACTTCTGTGTATTCAGCCTGTGCCTTGACGTTTTCTGCTCTTGTTCGACTGGTATTGATTGCTGCCTTCTTGTTCCTCCTTTCTTGAATCTTATCCAGTGTATCGACCGTGATCCAATCCTTGTGATGGTGCTTCTTTTGGCCCAGAACCTCATGACATGTTGAAGTGATTGCTTCTTTTATCTCTTTCCAGTCTCTCTCCATAGTAGTTCCTTCTCCATTGAGTAGATCATGAAAGGCTTGGAACTTATTGCTGAGGGTTATCTTGAATTTGTTGAGTTTGTCAGTATCCCGAAGAAGAGCCGTATTAAACTTTTGGGATATTGTCCTCCCCGTTGTCCCTTGATTTTCATAATGTAACATAAACTAAGTACTTTCCACTTCGGTTCTTAACATATTCACTAAACTAGTGAGCTTAAGTACCCATTGGTTTATTCAGCGTATGTTACAATTTGTAAGGGTTTGTAATTTCCCTTTTTTGTTGCCCATTATATTGCATTTGATCATTCTTGGTCGATAAACGTTATTAGTTATCCTATGGTTTCGCAATTTAAAACTATTCTTTTTTAAATTCATCCAATGAATATTACGTTTGAATGCTTCTGTAATATTTTCATTACTTTGTGAGTCATTCATTACTGTTTCTATCAAGACATGTAACTTTTTAGTATTGTTACATAAAATTCAACTTAAATGGAACTGATTATATTATTCATTGTAATACAGATATTAATTAAAAGAAAATATTTTCACACTTTATTCATCTTCTTCCAAAACATTATGTGTACATTTTGACTTGACTTAAAATAAATATATTCCATTACTTTTAGAGATTGTTTTGTATTGATACATAATCAAATTCAATTGAACATAGAATGAATCTTAGACTTAAAAGCTGAGCTTATTGAGAAAATGTACAATTCACTAGATGTTTGATTTCATCTAACTCGATACAAATGTTTTAGTATCCAATACCTTTTTTCTAAGGTTCTGAAATGTTGATAAACATAGAACATATTATAATCGATTCGTCGACGATTTTACAAAAACCAATTTTTCGAAACTAGTCAATCGTTTCATACAAATACGTCGACTTTATTTTTTCAATAGCAAGTTTCCTTTCTTCCTTAACTCACATTTTCATGTCTTATTTTTTTCATTTTTAGTTATTGCTTCAGGTATGCTTTATTCTCTTATAATGATAAAAATGAATGGAATCCATGTATCACAATTATTATCGTCTGCTTATTCAGTGACTTTTGTGACAGGTAAATCAAACAAGTTTGATTTTAATGTTTTTAAATAGACAGAATATACCCAATGAGACATCAGATAAGAAAGATTGGTTTGGCGAAGAGTTCTCTATTCAGCAAGCTCACAAATCTATACTTATTTTTCAGGATGATAATATAAAGTGTTTTCTTTTCAACTGAGGTTAATTGTCTTTGAAGCTGTTCGGGTTTTAAATTTTTGTTTGTAAATATCGAAGAATATCCGTTTTCTATGAATATTGTCTTAAGGATGCTCAGTTCGTTGTTTATGACCTCGAAACTATGAATCCTTCGTATTCACGTAGAGAGTGATGTGATTAATTTCCTCCTTCGACCAATAAGAGTCCAGCTGTGGAAGCTTGATAGCTGACCAGTTTTTCTTATTTAATGTTTTTATCGTTTTTGTAAATAGTGTTCAACATAGAGTGAAGCCATTTATGTTACCATTCAAAACTAGCAAACAATATATCTCTGCTTTTTCCCAGTTACAGATTCCTCAGTTATACACACCAAAGGCTAACTATAAATTTAACCCGGAAAAATGCATATCTTGTGTAACTTCGTTGTCTCCAGATTAATAGTTTGTTGTCTTCTTATGGCCAAAATTCTTAACTCGAACAAATTTACGATACCACTCGACGATCAGCTGATACCATCGGTAGGGACTAATTTGATCCCGACATGATTGAACTCTATCAGTCGAAATTCCTAACTAGAGTGTTGAAATTTTTCTTGAAGCTTGTTTCTACTGAGCAGTCAATCATAAAACCAATACCGTTTTCGTGGAAATTGTTTTGATTTATAGATGGTTTTTGTTTCTGATCGATATCAACTCAGGCGACATTATTTTGCTGCTTTTCAAGTAAACAATAGTTTCTGAAAATGTATTTGCTTCTTTATTTAGTAATTTAGTACACTCACACGAGGCATATTTAAAATGCATTTTCTGTGTTTTTATCATATGAAAAACTGCTAAGAAACACTTGACATTTTATAAATTATTTTGATGGATTTTCGTTTTCTGAGCTAGATAGTTTAGTCATAAGGCTATCACTGTCCTTCTGAATAATATCATCGGCAAAAAGTGACAGCTTGTCCTACCTCACTTAATCTTGAATTCTTATTCTTGAACTTCTGCTTTCACAAATAAATCATTCTGCTGAGAGAACAAAACTTGACCAAAATCAACCGACTGAGTTAAAAATCTTCTCAACCATTTCAACTTACATGATACATCATGATTTAGATCAATTTGTATATTGATTACAAAAATTCAGCTATAAAACGTAAAGGAAAGACAGTCATATATGATCACACTAATAATAGAAATAGTACGAGATTATCACTCTCTATAAATAAGTATGATGAAACTAACTCAGTAAATAAAAATCAGTAGATTGGTAAAATATTTCAATTATTTAATACTGCCTTATACTGAACTTTTGTTTTAATTTTACCGGCTAAATTTTTCTAATATTTTATCTATAATCTTGTTGTTTCTTTGAAAACAGCTTGTTTTCTACTGATAAAAACCTTGAAAAAAAGACACATTCATTTTATCCTACGAATTTTTCTATTTTTGCTCTATTTGAAAAATCCGTTAGCAATAAGTGATTTTAGTTTACTAGTTTTCTTTTAAACTCACTACAAGTTCCTAATATGATTTACTATCAGTTAAATAAATAATCAATTAATTTGAAATTAATATTTGACATTTCTTAGTTTTTCCGTGACTTGTAACACAATTGACAATTTATCTAAACAAAAAAATTTACTTGTTTTATTTTATACGCTACAAATTTTGAAAAAAATTCTAAAAAGAAGAATGAACATTTTTCTCTGTTAAATGAAATAAAAACGAACAAACTAGAAAATTTTTGTATTTAATTCATCTAGTTTTATATTTTATTGTTAGAGAGAGCTTAAACAATAAATTAACATTTGACTCATGATCTCAACTATTGAAATTACTATAATATGCACTAAAAACCTTTTCTGATACTAACCAGTATATGCTCACTAGTGACTGGCTTCAAGAGGCATCTTCTGAAGGTCTAATAAGAAACAGTGACCATTGGAGTTTAACTGGGTCTGTTGTGAGATATCAGCTCACTGATGACAATGGTGGATGCGTCGCTCAATTTCGTGGATTAGTTGAATTCCGGCTAGCTCAATGTTCTAGAGGTTAAGCGTTAGCGAGCGAGACTGATAGGTCCCGAGTTTGAGTCCCACACGGGGCGAGATCGTACTTCTGATGAGTTCCACAATAGGACGAAACGGTCGTCCAGTACTTCCAGGTCTTCCATGGTGGTCTAGCTTCAATTGACTCATGACCTCAATTGTTGAAATAACAAGTAAATATTGAATAGGTTTTTGATAAAATATAGACAGTTTAACATTCTTAAAATGCTACTCTTGTATATATAGCAACTGTTTACAAATATTATGTAAAACATAATTATATAGGCTTATTTAAAACTGTTAGAGAGAAATCTTTATCCAATCAACAGTACCAAAATAATATTTGAAAACGAAAACAATCAAAATGAGCAACTCTCTTACCATCAATTGTGGAATCATTAAGAAACAGGAAGCAGTTAACTGTTATTCTGTACTAGATTGTAACTTCTCAACAATCAATGTTCACAAACACAAGTATAATTGAACTCAATGATTATCTTTTCCATGATAAAACTAACTTTAAATTGAACAGTTTGAACAAAGCTTTATGAAGACGCCAAAGAAATGCAGATGATATTATCATTCTCTATTCTTATTTCACTATGTTGCTATAGAATGACATAATCTAGGTATTTGCAATCAGCGCAACAATATACGAATGAGTTCTGTTTAGGTGACCTACATAAACTACAATTACTTACTTGCCTAATGGTACTCCTTCATTAAAAACGTTAACTCGCTAACTGTAATTAACAAATTGATACCACTGAACCGGCATCCAACAGTGTTAATGTCGAACTTTAACCAATTTTCTATATTGAGAGACTACTTTTGCTTGTCTTTCGTGGGTAACCTCCTCTCACACAACGCGGTTGAACTCGGCAAGTCACAGCTTCTCACCAGAACTCCGAGAATCGCCTTTCGAACCAAGTCGCTAGTGAGCACATGATAATTCTCAGTTTGGGGTGAGGTTCAACCACGTCGGGAGAGAGACGGTTATCCACCAAAGACATTAGAGAATAATCTCTCAATGTCGTGGTTTGGTTAAAGTTAGACATTAATACCATCGGCTCAGTGGCACAGAGATTAAATATTTGCGTGAGACTGATAGTCCTTTGTTCTATCCTAGTGTGCGGGATCCTGAATATGAACTACTGAGGAGTCCCATACTAGGACGTCTATTGCTTACAGGTTTTCAGTGATAGTCTAACATTGACCAGTTTATGATTTCAATGGGATTCAGCAACCTACGCAACCTCAAAACTGGAAGTTAGAATATTGATTCAGCAATCAAACTGACAGTTTCCAACCCTTGAAATTCAGGTTCGAATACTGCTTAGTTTTCGTGTTGCACACTCTTTAAACAGTATGTCAGTTTCGTGTGTCCGTTTATTTACTTATCTATTGACTACTTTGATCTGTAAATAGTACTTATTTAAGAACTCATTCATTTTGCACCTACTTATTTGCTCATATCATCATTTGTTTACACAATCTGTCACTGGTTAGATCATTTAATCCTTAGGCTTAGAAATACAGCATTGCAAATAGTTTTCCTTTTTAATTATCTTGTTTTTATACCATAACTGAATTACTGAAAGTTGAGTCAGTCGGCATGACCCTTGAACTTATCAGATTAAACTCAGTCTCATTAATCTTTAAGAAAAATATATTAACCAATAAGTCATACTTGAATGACTAATATGTACGTGTTTATATTTGCTAATTATATAAATAGTCTTAATTATAAAATCCTATTTAAATCATTTTCAGTATTTTAATTATCTTAATTTGAAACTAATTTTTGATCTTATTTTTATTTTCAAATCATTCTTCGTTTTCTTTTCTCAAATAGTTCATCTTTTAACAAAACAATTGAACTGGATAGTTTACATATACACCTTACTAACAATAATTACTATTATATTCCATATAAAACTCTCAAAGATACAAGTCAAAGGATGGATGTTAACAGTGAAACAATATTTTCTTACTAAATTATCAATTCAAAATACATATTATTCACCAAATGAAGCAACTAAAATAAATTAGACATTGAACAGTCAAGGATTTAGTTTAAATGAATTTTTTAATCAATAAAAAAGTGCAACAAAATAAACAATAGTCAATGAAATAATGAAATTTTCTATTTATAAAAATGGATTATTTATTTTGAATAATTTGATTATATTGAAAAGATAAATTATAGACTTCTCTTAACTGATTGATCACAGAGAGAGAAAAACAATGAAGTGGAAAAACATCAAAATCTAAACATTTCATTATTCATTCATAATGAAAACTAATGATATTTCATTAACCATGAACTCATTCCTAAAGCTTTTATTAATAAAAGTTATCATTTAAAGAACTGTGCCATTATACGCCATTTTCTTTCATTTTCTTCATAAATGAACAAAAGAATTTTGCCTTATTATCTTACGCTTAAATGTACCTTGGATGGAACTGACTATAATGAAACTAGAAAAAAAAAATTGAGCACTTGTATCAAAAAAATTTTTGATAAATATTTCAATTTAAATGTTATTAGAAAACATCTAATATGTTGTCTTTTGATTTGTTTCACTTTCAACATTCAGCTAATTTGTACGTACTTAATAAATTTACGTATATGATGTTTCAAGGAAATATTCATCAAACCATCTCCCACACCATAGTGATTAACAGCTTGTGTATTTGAACGGAAGATTTGTAACTATAGTAATGTTGTCTTTTACAATTATGTTATAAAGTGTTTGAAAATTATCTTGCATTTACTTAAAGATACCTTTAATTAAGGGTAGAACGATATCATAAAAGGTAATTTTTTTTACTGAATCGATAGGAAGATTTTTATAAAAGTGTAAATGTGACAGTAAAATCTAAACTCAGTGAGAATAATTCGTCAAGTCAGAATGAAATGTGTTTAAGTAGCGAGTTTCTTTAAAAGATTGTCGGTACCAAGATACTGAGCCAAGGACTTAATATTTCCAAGCACTTGGGATCTATCATTTGTTATATTTGATAGGAATGAGACTAAATAAAAATGTCCATCATATTAAGACGTAGATATATGAAGGAAGAATATTCTTTCTGATAAATTCTCATCAGGTTCTACAATTATACAACTATAATAATGTTTCAAAAGAAAAGTTGGGTTTAAAGTAAATATATCAATTAAAATCATAGTATGTGAGTTATGGATTGTTTCTGGAATAAAATAGGACTCTTGATCTTGGCCTAACTTGTATGTAATGCTAACTTGGACAAATTTATATTCAAAAGGAAAATGCGATATTGATGGTCAGAATAAATATAGATGACAAGAGTGAGAAAAAATTATACTATATTTATAGATCAAACCAAATGACTAGTTGGAGATTACGCAATGTATGAAGTAATATGAATTCAGTACGGGATAGTAAAAGGGGTTGATGTTATATCTGAACGGAGAATATGGATGGTAACTGCTAAGAATTACTCGCGGAATGTTATAACATATATTCTTATTGGATAATTATTATGTAATTATATAAGCATAATGAATGGTAACTTTGGGATCCATTTGTGGACGAATACTACACGGATGTTGTTAACGTATAATTGTTATGTAACTAAACTGTTCATATTCATGTTCATCTTATTATGAATTTTATTTTGATCTATGAACTATTATTATACGATTTACCATTCTTGGATTATTCCCTGTCTATTAATCACTACCTCCCACATTCACAGCCGCATTTGGCTAAATCTTGTACAAATGTTGTTTTGTATTTTATGTTACATTGTGGTCTGTTTGATTGATATATAAACTCAGTATGTTTGAAATATAACGATTCATATTGCAGAGGCTGAGATTGGTGTTTGGACTCAACTGGCTGGGCTAGGCGTAAAGCAGGATCAATCAGGACTCTAGGCTGCTCGTACGTGTTTATGCGTCCTTGGATCGATCGATAATTCACTTCTATCTGATTGGTGGTATTATTACGTTATACATCAACAGGGCACTCAGGCCACAAGTTATAACTATATATATCATAAGCTCTCATTCGACCGATTGACTACTGTCTATCAGTTACAGTCTCCTATGCTTGATTTGTTGTGTAGGTACTGGTTTTGCTAAGGAAATAATATGTAACTTGGCGATGTGATACGTCTTTTCAACAGATCTTTTGAGTCGACGTGTTAAAATGTCACCTGCTATGTTTCCTTCAAAATGCACTTTCAGATACGGGGTATTTTACTATCCGAATCACAGTTTCTTGTTCTTTTAATATCCTCTACCGGGAATTTTCTGACGAAATTATCTGGATAGCCGTTATTTTGTAATGTATTCTTTAGTGTATTTATTTCGCCATATACACTACCTTCAGAACATAACACTGATTCTGTGGCTTAGACATCCAACTAAATTTATTTTGTACTAAAGAGGTGTAAAGTTATAGAAATGGGTGTACCGACCAGTAGTACATTCCATCAGAAGCTCCTTCGTTTTATTTATTAGGACCGGTTTCTCTATTTTATTTCCTAGCAATTGTTCACATACGTAAACAATGGCTTTAGTCGGTGAGATGTTAGTTAACAAAGACGTTATATCTAATGATAACGTGGTTTCGTCATTTATATTTATGCTTTTTTATTTTATCCACAATCATAAATACGCCTGTAACACTATACGTAACCGATTCTCAGTGTAAAGGTTTGAATAATTTCACCAACCATTTTGATGTTGAATGAGTTTAAAGATGTTACAGGTATTCGGAGTTTAACATCACCTTTACACGTAACACCTTTATGATCGAAGCATTCCAGCCTGGGCAAATCAGAAATGAACAAGTTGGAAGATATATTTGAAAAGCTATCGATATTTCTAGAAGCTTTCTATCTAAGCTGATCAGCAGTTGTAGATGCGTAGCACGGCGTGCCCACTCGTGAACTGGTGCGGATGCGTAACCAAGCGCCCTCAGCTAGGTTCTTCCATTAAAATTAATAATCACATAGTCTTGGAGCAACTTCGTATCCCGAATAAATCGACCTTTCAAAAAACAGCTGAGTCTACGTACTGCTAATTTCTTATTATTAGGTCATTTGTGTTCGTGACTCCAAATCAGAGCTATTTGATAGTGCCCATTTAACATTTGCACTGAATTTGATATAGCGCAGGATGCTATACGATCTTTCACAGACATCGATGGAGTACGACTAATTGGGTCTTTGAATTCAGTTGAGTACAACCTTTCAAACGTATCCTCTAAGTCAACTAGGCCTGTAACTCTTCTAGAATTACTGCCGGTCCAAAGCACGGGTAAAGGTGGAGGGTTGAGCATGAATTTAGCGACCCCATCCCGTAGAAAACTAACTCGCTAAAAAAACGCTAACCAGAAAACATAACTCAAACCATTTAAACTCTGCCGTGGAAGTTAGAAGGTCTTCATTTAGAAGAAATATGAAGCCTCATGGTGAAAGCCGAGTTCCTACGGAAGCCACGAGGCCAATGTCCCTTCTAACAACCAGAGCAACAATTTTTATAGGTACATGGAACGTCCGGACAATGTGGGAGACCGGGGAGACCAGTCAAATAGCAACGGAAATGAGGAGATACAACTTGACAGTACTGAGAATCAGCAAAACCCGTTAGATCCAAGCTGGACAACAAAAGCTAGATACTGTTATACTCCGATCACGAAGAGAAAAATACTTTACACACTCAGGGAGTTGCTCTAATGTTGTCCAATATAGCACAAAATGCACTTGTAGAATGGAAATCTCAAGGATCCAGAATCATCAAAGCATCATTTAAAACAAAGAAGGAGGGAATCACAATGAATGTTATCCAGTGTTGTGCACCCACCAACGATAGCGACGACAAAAACGTGGAATCCTTCACATACCTGAGAAACATCATCGATGAACAAGGAGGATAGGATGCAGACGGAAAGGCAAGGATCGGCAAAGCAAGGGCCGATTAGACGATTTGGTCTTTGCAGATGACCTAGCCCTCCTATCGCATACACACGAAGGAATGCAGATAAAGAAAACCAGTGTAGAAGCAGTCTCTGCATCAGTAGGCCTCAGCATACACAAAGGAAAAAGCAAGATCCTCAAATAAAACACGGAGAACAGCGATCCAATCACATTTGTTTTACCAACAGTATGAAAATGTTGGTTGATGCGCCGTTTGCACGGTCCTGTAAACTGCCAGCAGTTTCTTGACTGTCAACACATTTCGGACACTAACGGATGAAGAAAAATCTATCAAGTGCAACTCTACACCGACCTCTTTGTATACCGACGACGATTCATTACTAAGAGTCTTTAAAGACACCATTTTTGGTTTTCCCTCGAGGCCTAACTTATAAGCTAGATCATCAACTATGAGGGAGGTATCTGATCCACTATTTAGAAAGGCGCAAGTCTGAATATTCTTTACACCATTTTTAATCCATACAGGCACTACTGCAAATGCTACTGGTCTCTGTATACACTTAACGCCTTCCTCCGTACGAAGCTAAATATTAATGTAGGCATCACTATTAGTGTCTCTTTGTTCTTCCCTCTTCTCGTGTAGCAGGGTATGGCGTTTCCAACCACACACTTTAACAGCACATGACCTCGGTAATCGACAATTTTAGGTGCATGGTTTTCCTTCAGACGAACGTTACATAATTTATGCCTAAGGACGAATTCTTTCTTTTCTCTGACATTCTTGTCTTTAAACGTCTGTCGTTGATCTAAAGAATAATTGCTTAAGCACTCCAAACAGAATGAGCTACGTAAGGGGACATTGCCATCACTAGTACTCGCTACAAGTTTGATATGTCTAGAATCGGATGTAAAAATAACCTCAGGTTTATGGAAATTGGGTACAGCATGGGGTTGAGAAGTATGTGTTTCAGAAGGCTCGGGCCCATTTTAGGTATACTCAGAAATGCAATAATGTTGTTTTAAAAGTTTCAATATCGTGGTTAATTGAAATTTCGCCCTTTTATTGAGGTCTTTAAAGGACCCAAGCTTTTGAAAGTTAGTTTGATCACTCTATGTAATCTGTC